AATAATAATAAAAATAATAATGATAATAATAATAATAATAATAAATCACAGTTTTTAGCTTTAGTAACAGTTTTACGGCACTTGCAAAACAATTAGGTCATAAAAGTGTTGAAGATTTAAGAGGTATTACAAGAGAGTAACAAACACAAAAAATAAGGAGGGGAGATCAAGAGGATAGATGTTTGATAGGAAAGAAGGAGCAAACCACACTAGAGCACCCGCCAACCACCCACTGACTAGTAGCGACAGATCTGACCAGAGCAAATAAAACTAAATAAAGTTATTTAGAAGATCAAACTGGAAACAGCTCCAGTGTTGAACAGAACGGAACATTTCATAGAAGGAAAAAAAACACCAAACAAAACAAAACTGGGAAAGGCAAAACTAAAGCCCAAAAAGACGTAACCAAAACAGAGCTGCTCTAGAGGTGTGATGTGTCTGTCACTGTCATCAAAAGTGTCCCGATAAAACCAGAAGACTAGAATCTAGGCTGTGACTAAGACGTAGGAAATGTGCGGGGAAAGAAAAACACAGCGGAAAAAGAGCAAAGTGAGAGATGAATAAACTGTGTCAGAAGTTACACCGTCTGGGATCTGTGGCACAACTTGCCATAATATATTCGGTTGTTTGTTTTAGTAAGGTTTTACGGCGCTCACAACTGCATAAGGTCATATGAGTGCCAATGAGTGGATGTCAACAGAGAAGTCTAAACGGGGAATCAGGCTTACTCTGCTCACCTCTCTAGCCTCAACAGCACAAAGTCTGCTTCAACTATCAAGGCACCCACAAAAAAGCAGTTCACAAGAGAGTGACAAACATACACATTGTGGGCAATTCCACCCTGATTTACAGTACATAACGCTGGCAATACGAGGTATGCTCTGAGAATCATGCTCTTGCTGAGATCAAAACGAAAGTATTCCCACACTCCAACATAACTAAGGAGAAAATTGTGAATATCTACGTGATGTATTTACTGTTGAAACAGAAGAAAAAACGGGTTCGGGGGGAGGGGACCAGTGAACAGCGCAGTGCAAGTACAGGAGTGAGTCTGAGTGAGGTGTCTACAGCTAGAGGTCACAGCTACAGGTCACAGCTGGGGGGAGGTCACGACTCTAACCTTTGGCAGGGGAGGTAATCTCTCCTTACTCTCTCTCACAGTTGTTTTAGCCTGTGTAATATCCAGCATTCATTTCATTTTGTATATACATTTTATATATATATATATATGTATATATAGATAGATAGATAGATAGATTAAATACGCTGTTGTTCTCAAAAAAAGGAAAAATCATCATACTTCACAAAATTCATTTGCAAAAGTGAAAAAATGCTCACTTCATGCACATTACAAAAAATTTACTGGAGTGAAGTTCTTGGTCTAGATTCTAGTCATATCAGAATTCATCGCTCATTCAAGTAAAAAACCAAAGAGGTGATTCCATCTGACAAGGAAAAACCAAAGAGGTGATTCCATCTGACAAGGAAAAACCAAAGAGGTGATTCCATCTGACAAGGAAAAAAACAAACAAGTTCCACGGAATGAAACTTTCCTCCTTATCAACTGGTGTAGATATTAGATTTATAAACCTTCTGTCCTGTTCAATGTATGAACTATCTTTTTTCATTGTGTGAACTATTTTTTTTTACTGCATGAACTACCTTTTTCCATTGCACGAACTATCTTTCATTACACCAACTATCTTTTTTCATTGCATCAACTATCTTTTTTCATTCCAAGATCAGGTATCATCAAACAGTATCGGAATTATTTTCTCCATCACTCTGGGGCAGCAAGGAGGAGTTGGAGAAGACAGAATCATTCCTCTACACTGTTCCTTAACTAGGGCGCATGGCATGAACCGCCCGGGTGTGTGTGTGTGTGTGTGTGTGTGTGTGTGTGTGGGGGGAGTGTAAGATCATCCCTGGGGGTTTGAGCGACGTTTCTGAAAGTCAAAACTAGAGTACTTTTTGCTGAAGTAAATCTTGATCTTAATTCCTTATCTTGAAGTTTCAGAACAAATAAATTATGCGTTCATCTGTAGTTACCATTACCACATGACACTACGTACTTTAACTTTTATGAAGCGCTGTTGTATATCATTCAAAGTAAAGTTGTTCCTGCATCCGATCCGGACATTGGGGACTGCCTTGTTAGTGAGACAACTTCCTGGATCTTCGGCATATTGTGGTAGGGTAGCCAGTTCCTTTCCACGCCGCCTTTACTTCCCCAACTCGAAGTCAGGTACCCATTACTGCTGGGTGGGCAGGAGGGAGGGAAAAAAATCTGTCCGAACCGAGGCTCGAACCCGCACTTTCCGCTTCGGAGACGAGCGCAATACAGAATGCTATACAGAAAGACAAGATTTCAATTCAAACTTACTCGTTCCAAGGCAAGATACAGTCCCTCTGGGGCTAAATTGTAACTGGACTCCATGATCCTAGAAAATAAAAAACCCAAAAACTTTCGAGTTAGTTTTAGCAGAGGTTTTACGGCGCTCGCAACTGCATAAGGTCATATGAGCACCAAGGGGTGGATGTCAACAAAGAAGTCCGAACGGGGAATCAGACTTACTCTGCTCACCTCTCTCGTCTCAACAACACAAAGTCTGCTTCGACTATCAAAGCACCCCGGAAAAAGCAGTTCACAAGAGAGTGACAAACATACAAAAGAAGTAGAGGCAAAATGACGATAGTAAGGATGAGGAAAGAAGAAGCAGCAGTTCCACCTATGTTGTTCCGGCACAATATGAGCATGGCATTGATAAATCCAGAAGACTAGATATGTTACAAGAGAGTATAAGCAACAAACATAAAAAGAAGAAGGGGAGATTAGGACGATAGATATCTGATAGGAAAGAAGAAGCAAACCACACCAGAGCACCCGCCAACCACCAAAAAAAACACCTTTTGAAATGATTAGTCTCAATCTAAAATGACTTCAAGAAAACTGAACAAAAGGGGAAACGTGCTTAACTGTGGAACTGAGGAATGAGGTATTTAGTCACTGTCTGAGGAGAGAGTGACGTCCTTTTGTACGTCCATTCAATGACTTTTTGTGTGTGTGAGTGTGTGTGTGTGTGTGTGTGAGTGTGTGTGTGTGTGTGTGAGTGTGTGTGTGTGTGT